CCGTCAACATCTTAAAAAGGAAAGAACCCAAGCCATGAGCCAAAGGAGAATCCATGTCGCAGGGAGGGCAGGGGGAGGCAGGGAGGCTGGAGAGGGGTGCCGACGGGACAGCAAGTGGCAGCTCCCACGGGTGACCAGAGAGGGCGCCGCGGTGACTTGCTGGTGCCGGCACCCAGGGGCCACCAGCAGCAGTGCAGGTGGCTGGAGTCCGCTGCTCGCGCTGGGAGATGGGACCCAGCGGGCGGTGTGCCTCTGAAGCCACGGGAAATGGGGGTCGTCCCGGAAAGCAAAGGTTACTCACCTCCAAGTTAATTTACACTTTTCCTAAGGGACAAGAGACTTTCTGTCACTGCCTCCCCCGCTAGGAGCACCCGCTCGCTGGCCTCGGACGTGAGGGCGGCTCTGTGCTGGAAGCGGAGGCACCCACTTACTCTGCAGAGAGCGCAGCAGCCCAAGGGGCCCAGCGCTGGAGGCTGCATGTGATAGAATCAGCACCACAGCAAATCCAGTCCTGTGGCTATCAGAAGCCACCGGTACACGGTCGCCCGGGCAGGGGCCATCGGTACGCGGCTGCCCGGGCAGGGGCCATCGGTACGCGGTCGCCCGGGTAGAGGACATCGGCAGGCGGCCACCTGGGCAAAGAAAGACTGACCTGCACATCGACAGTGCTGAGCCCCAGCGCCGGACCCCACGGATGTAAACAGGCGCTGAATGAAGAGTCAATTTGCACATCAGCAAGGAAATCTACACCATACATGAGAGGCTTTCAATCTTTTTATTTATTTTATTTTATTTTTTTCTGAGAGAGTGTGTGTGTGAGCAAGGGAAGGGCAGAGGGAAAGGGAGAATCCCAAGCAGGCTCCATGCCCAGCGTGGAACCCAACGCAGGGCTGGATCTCACAACTGTGAGACCGTGACCTGAGCTGAAATCAAGTCGGATGCTTAACAGACTGAGCCACCCAGGCGCCCCTCAATCTTTTTTTAAAAGCAGAATAACTTTTTTTTTAATTACATAAAGAATCCCAAAATTCTCTGAAAGCAAAGAGGTTTGCTTTCTTTTAAGGATAAGTGGGAAACCCAAGGTCAGCTCACCAGACCCAACCCGAGAATCCTTGGGTGACCCCGAACCCAACAAACTACGCGGATGGGCTACACAACAAAACACACTCTTGAGAAGCTGACAGACTTAAACAAAACAAAACCTTGTACTAAAAAAAAAGGCAAAACAAAAACACGGGGTTGAAGTTTATCGGCTCCCAAGTGTGCCCAGAACACAGTGTGCATCCCCACACACACGCTTTCATTTCATTGGCTTCAAATAGAATAAACAAAGCCACCCTAATATTTTACTTGTTTGAAAACACACGAGAAACTTTTCCAACAACTAAAGGGCAAGCACTTCAACAGTCATCTGTGAGAAACTGGAGTTTATAAACAAGCGAGAACATCTTCAACACAACCCTTCGGTGTGGAAGTCAAAAGCATTAGGACCGAGTGCATTTCCTTTAATGCAAACACAGTGATTTAAATGCAGGGCGCCTGGGAGGCTCAGTCAGTTAAGTGTCTGGCTCTTGGTTTCAGCTCAGGACCCGATCTCAGTTTGTGAGCTGGACCCCTGCATCAGGCTCTGCGCTGGCAGGGCGGAGCCTGCTTGGGATGCTCTCCCCTCCCCCCCGCCCCTCCTCCCGCTTGTGCAGCTGTGCGTGTGCTCTTCCTCTCTCTCCAAATAAATACATAAAGTTAAAAACAAAATTAAAACAATAAGAAGCTGGTTGTTTCCAAGAAAAGATCACCCGACAAAACTCTCTCGTGGTAAATGACCTCAGTCACGATCAGCGCACAGCAGGGGCACTGCCAAGTCTGAGGAACGACGTGTGTGTGTAACTGGCAGACACGTGCAGTACAAACAGTCCGGGGGGAGCCCCCCCCCACCAGCGGGCCCTCCCCACGGGGGCGGGGCGCCAGACCAGAGACTCAGCGGCTGCGTGAGGCGCGTCTTCGCCAGCTCATAGTTCAGTCCTTCAAAGAACAAACGTGACCACAGAGTGAAGCCAGGCTACGAAGTCAATGTCATTTTTCAAGGAAATACATTTTCCTCCAAAAGATATAAGTAAATGGTGAGCTCAGAAGAAGAATACCAACGCTTACAAAAAACAAAAGCCAAATGCTTGGAAACCGGAGGAAACACCTGCCAAAGAAAAGGTGTGTCTGCTTAGCCATGAACTCGGCTGGTTTCACATGAAAATCACCCCACGCACACAGCTGGCTGTGAACAGGTGATCCTGCTGGACCGACTGTTTTCCAAAGTCACAGTGTGGGTTGCTTCCGGGGCTCAGTCGATTCAGCCTCCAACTCTGGCTCAGGTCATGGTCTCATGGTTCGTGGGTTCGAACCCTGCGTTGGGCTCTGTGCTGACAGCTCGGAGCCTGGAGCCTGTTTCGGATTCTGTGTCTCCCTCTCTCTCTGCCCCTCCCCTGCTCACGCTGTCTCTCCCTATCTCTCTAAAAAATAAATATTAAAAAAAAAAAGTCACACTTCGTTAAATGTTTTCTAAGTCCAACGACCCTGGGGACATGGATGAAAGGGGCACAGTCCTCACTGGGGACAGTCACCGAGCTGCACAGGGACAGAAAAGGCCCCGCTCTCCCATGTGTCCTGATGGACTCAGCGGCCCCTTCGATGGGCGTGTCTGCAATGGGACAAGGTACTGACGCTGCAAGTCGGTCTGGCAGCTGCGCAGGGCGAACTATCCAAAGCGTCTGACCTTGACCGCAACCTCAGCTTGCTCGCCAGGCAGCCAGGTCAGGCGCAAGCGGCCCCTGAGAGCTACGAGCAGAAACTCCCCCTCAGAGAAAGACACAGGACGGCGTGTGCCCGCTCCTGGCGCCCTCACGTCGGCCCACGGCGGGGGGCTGGTTACACGGAGACCCGGGAGCAGGAGGCTGCATGAGCCCCTCGAGCCGCTGAACCGTGTGCGGCATCGGCCAACGAGGGGACCACCATCTCCTGCTCTGAATGGAGCCCATGGTGCGTTGTGCGCTTTCTTGGCTACTGGGCAAACGTACCAACCAGGTACGATTCGTGCTGGCGTCCCCCGTACAGGAGCTCCCGGGCCTCGTTAGTAATCACTCACACGTTAAAGGAAAATCCCCCCAGGACCCGCTTCCGACAACCCCGTAGTGTGCACACCCGCTTAAAAGCCGCGTATAGACACGCCGTACGCTGACGGAGGAAATCACAATCTGTGCCCCCAACACCAAGGTTAATGGGCCGAGTTCTAAGTATATATGACCTAAATCCAGGGAAACTGTCCATGAAACTTACCAAAATAGAAACCATGGCATCACAAAACACAGAGCCCAGAGTTCAAAATCTCAAGAACAGAGAGCGCGCAGCCGGCACTTCACCGGGGACCCTGGGGATGGAGAGCGCGCGGCCAGCACTTCACTGGGGATCCTGGGGCTGGATTTGCTAGAATGATCTTACTCTCTACCCAGGGACAGCTTGAGGACTCTTGGCTCCGGGCTGACTGCTTGCTGCATATTCTGTCCCTCTGTGAGTTTACGCTTCTGTCCGTAGCTGGGTCCATATTTAAGTGAAGGAAACTGGGAAGCTCCATCCCCGTCACACACACAATCAGGGAGGAAGGTGGCAGGGGGTTAACGCACAGTGTCTCTTCCCTACACAGCTCGAGCCCGTCTTCCAAACAAATATTTGACATATGGACCCGAGGGCCCCAGGACCCTTGGCTGGCTACCCGATGGCTGAACGGGAAGTCCGGTGCCCGTGGGGAACAGCCTGTTAAAGGTGAAAGCACTACTGCTACCCCATCATATGCTGACCAACACGCCCAAGACCCCACTGGACCAACTCACTGAGAGAGAGAGAGAGAGAGAGACTGGAGAGCTTTCAATGGAAGCTCCTCGATACCTCATTCATCTCCAACAGATCTTGGACTTGAGGAAATCCATCCCTCAGCAGCGTCAAGATTATGTAGAAACCCCTGAATGCCACTTGGGGGGCCGTTTTCTCACCTACACACACAGGTACCAAGAAGGTCTTCTTTCATCTCTTGCTTCAGACTCCGGCTGAAGGCATCTCCCATCAGAGGGCCTCATTCTTGAGAGGGTCACAGCCTGACTTACGGGGACGGGGACAGTCTGGCGAGAGACGCTCACCCTGCCGCGGGGCATGAGCAGCGCCCGTCAGAGGCTGGCGTGTTTCAACACGGAGAAGCCATTCACATAGCGACACGCGACCTGGGTCACGCTGTGGCGGCCCCGAGCTCACGGCCAGCTCTACGACACAGCTTCGGCCCGTCCTCGGCTGGCTGAGCACTGGGGGGCAGCTTCCCGATGGGCATGAACTCCAAACAGCACGTGTTCCTACGAAGGGTCTATTTCAATGAACACCTAACTATGAGCCGAAGGTCAGTCAGCCAAGCGGACCCGGTTAGGTCAGGGTGACGACAGGGAAGGGTGACATGGAGCGTCCGTCCCGTGATTGGGGGGACAGCTCTGAGCCCGAGCAGCACTGGGCTGCATTTAGGACGCCGGCTGCCCCGGAAAGGGCTCTGGGAAAAGGCTCTGGCTGTGCAAACGTGCTCGTCCGGGGAGCCCAGCTCATTACGGGCTGGAGACGGCACCACGGGCACCAGAGCCACTGCAGGTGGCCCGGGCCCATGTGGCCGCTCTTTCCCGTCCCCTCCGAGGGTGGTGCCTGGAGTGCTGCTAAGAGGCCCCGGCGCATGCACGACGTTCAGGCTGGAGGCAAGCCCACCGCCCGGGGTGCTGACTGCACAGGGGACAGAACGGAAAAGACTCACCTCCCTTCCTGCCACCGGAATGTTCGAAGGCTCGGTTTCCCCAATGCGCCCAGCGAGCACGCCCTGAGTCTCAGGCCAGTGGCCGGGGGGCCGCTGTAGCTCTGGGGACCCCATGCCCCGGGGAGCGCCAGCCACCCGAAGGAGCACCAGCAGGCAAAGACACACCAGGCACAGCTTTACACCAACGTTGTGATTTTTATTGATGGGCGACAACCTGCACCCTGGGGGTCACTCAGCTGCGCAGTTAGAGACGCGGCGTCACAGAGGAGCAGGCGGCAGGGTTAGACAGAGCGACCTGAGGGAAGAGCCTCCTTCGTTATTTGCCCGTGTTTCATCCGTGTACACAGAAGCATGAATGCAATTGGAAATCTTTTAATGGCAATAAAGTTGACAATCCCCCAAGGGGTCTGATCTGCAATGTGCACGTAAGCAGCTTTTCATCGCACAATTATTAAAGTGTATTTTTCCTGTTAGGAACCAGCAACTTATTTTTTGTATTTATGTTTCTTTTGAAGAACTATCTCTTCTGTGATAACTGGCTCATTTTTATCATTTATCAAAAACTAAAGGGTGGGGAAGGAAGTGTGAGGGATTAAAAAATTTATTTTTTAAGGAAAGATAAAATTCATTTTCACAAATTTACAAGTGTTGCTGGTGCAGGATTTATTCTATGAAGCAATTAGACTGGGAGTCGAATGCGAGCTCCCCCCTCTTACTCAGGAATCAGCATTATTTCGGAAACTCGGGTTCTGTGTGTTTTCTTAAATCAAGCGACGGCCCGGTTCAACCGAGTGATTTGGGTGTGGAAGCAGCGTCAACGTGAGCCGTGGCGCACAGGCCCCAGGCGTCTGCTCTCCGCTCTAGCCCGTTCTGCGAGGGCAGCGAGGCCCCGTCCGGAGAGCCGCCGGGGACAGGAAGGAGGTCGGAGGGCACGGCGTCGAAGCGGCGGCGGGCACACGGCGCGCAGGCGGCTACAGCAGGTCCACGCGGCGGTAATACAGGAGGTAGGCTGTGCGCTCGGCGGCGGGCTTCACCACCTGGTGCTGGCTGACCACCTTGACCGCCTGGTCTTCGATGCGCAGCCAGCCGTTGAGGCCGATCTGGAAGACGTCCGTGCTGTAGTGGCCGCCCGTTGCGCTGCCTCCGTGATGGTAGACCACTGCAAGAGAGGCCGGGCGCCGTGAGGGAGGCCGTGCCCGCGCCCCCCCACCCAGAGCCACTTCGTTCAATCCACAGCCCCGAACAGTTCACGAGAAAACGTCACCCGCACATCCTAGTGACCCGCGTGACGTGTGTAAGGCCTCCCAGCCAGAGTCGTTGCCGGCCCCTCAGGCGAGGACCGCCCTCCACTGCAGCGAGCACTCGGGGGCGCCGCGCGGAAGACCCCTCCCCGCCCCCGCCTCCAGGACTGCGCCCCAGAGACCCCACACCCTCGTGCTCCCTACCCAGCCCACGCCCTGCGAGACTGCTCTGAAGGGACCGTCTGACCCCCCACAGCTGGCACAAGAGCACCCGGTGGTGCCACAGGACGAGGGGAGACTGGGCGCACGGTGATGCAGGGACGCGCCGGCGTACGTGACAAACGGAGAATTCTAGGTTTTCAGGGACTGTCATCACAGCGAGTGGCTGCACCGGCCCCAGGAGGGCCATCAGGGCTGTTGTGTGGGCACAGCGTGTGGCATCCCCGCCCACGTGGCACCCAGCCACTCTTCCTTCTTTCAGGTTTTAACGAATGAGGTTAAATTCCAAAAAGCAGCACTTGCTATTTGCCTAAGAAAATTCTGTAATTCAACCAAGAAGCCTTAAGTCAAAGGCCTAAAACAAAGACAACCAACCACTGGAAGATGCAGGGAAATCACCGAGAGACACCAAGGGCCGCATCTCCCCGGCTCGGAGGATGAGCCTGGGGAGGAGGGACCCCTGGGGGGGGGACACCTGGGGGGACACCTGGGGGGGACACCTGGGGGAGGGACACCTGGGGGAGACACCTGGGGGGGGGGACACCTGGGGGGACACACGCCTCCGGAGGACAGGCCACCGCCAGCAGGAGGAACGATACCCGGCTGGCGGCAAGGTCGCTGGGCCCTGGAGGCAGCTGTCACTGCACAGGAGGGACGATGCTGTCCAGACGGACCCGTGGCCGAGACTGGGGAGAGGACAGCCCCTCTGGTAAAGGAGCCTCCACACTAGGGGACATGACCACCACGACTGGCCCCCCGGGGACAGGACACCAGTGGTGGGACCGGCACGCACGCGGCAGGTCACAGTGATCAGAAGGCTGTCGAGGACGTGAGGCCCGACGCGGCTCGCCCCCCGCACCCCAAGTCCACTCGGGACTCCATCCTGGAATCTCACCTCTGAGACCCGACCTGAGCGAGGCTTTTTATAAAGTGACCGAGTCCGTGGGACTTAGCGACCTGAGGGTGTGCTGCCTGCAGACACTTCTGTCATAAGCCTCCAAGAGAAAGCAGCCCCCACGTGTTCCAGTCCCCGAAGCAGCACCAGAGAGCCCCCCACCCGACCCGGACCCCAGACAGAGCTGAGGTTAAATGAGGTCTCAAGTTGGAGGCAGCTCAGAGCCAAAAGAATATTCCACTGAGTTCCAAGCCCCAACGTCACGTCAGACCCAGGTTTTCACAAGGCACCGCCTGGCAGAGTGCAGGGGCACCGGAGCCTCTTCTCTGCGCTGAGGGGCGAGGGCAAACGCGGCCTGGCACCGCCCTCGTCACTGCTTTCGTACGGACACAACGCGCACGTGTGCTTACCTGCAAAGAGCCTGTAGGTTCGGTGGCATTTAAAGTTCTTACTTTTAACCCCCGGAGAAAGCAGTTCTGGAAAACAAAATATCAACAGCCGCAATCTATAAAAACGCACTTACAGACGGGCTCGGGGTGACAGGGACGAAGAGGTTCCGATGGCCCCGCTCACACGCGCCCCCGGCAGACCAGGAAAACCGGAGAAGCTCCATCCATCCCTTCGTCTGCAGAAGCGCCGCCCGGGAGGCAGAGCGGCTGTGGGACACGGGGCCAGGGGACCGGCAACCCGTCCGTTACGAAGCAGAGGAAACACTCTGAGCATATCAAGCTCGTGCCAGAAACCCCTTAAAAGCAGATATTCTGAAGAATGGAGAAGAAACCTGCCCACTGAGAAACACAACGGCCTCGGGAAAGCTCAGAATTCAAACATCTCACAGGTGAGGGAGGCCGTCAGGTAAGAGTAAGATGGTCTCTCCCATGAGGCACTGGGCCACCAGCTGGGAAGGCGGAGTCCTCGTCCTCGGGGCACCTGGCCCCTGCAGGAACAGCTCCCCGCAGGGACCCTTCTCGCCGCCGGCCTCTCCCCTACCCTCACCCTTGACCCAAGCCAGGGCCTCAGGGCCTCGCCTATCTCGTTTCTTTCTAGAAAGCACGGAAGGTGTCAGCGACATGAAAACACGTCTAACAAGCAAGACAGCCCACACTGACAAGGCCCAGCCACCTGACAGGGGCCTGTGGCTGACGGGGTGCCACAAATATGACACACGTGTCACTGCCACTGGGGGTCAGAGGGACCCCAGTGGCCTATGGGAAACATTCCTTCGCTGTGCTAAGAAAGTCCACTTAGCAGGCTGGTTTGGGGGCGCCTGGGGGGCTCAGTCGGTTAAGCGTCCGACTTCGCCTCAGGTCACGATCTCACGGTTCGTGGGTCCGAGGCTCCCATCAGGCTCTGTGCTGACAGCTCAGAGCCTGGAGCTGCTTCAGGCTCTGTCTCCCTCTCTCTCTGACCCTCCCCTGCTCACACTGTCTCTCTCTCCTCTCTCTCAGAAATAAATAAAACGTTTTTTAAAAATTTAAAAAAAAACACAAAAACAGGCTGGTTTCGGCAATTGTTCATATTCAGTATAAAGAAAAATGCTTTCTTCCACCAATCCAGAAAATACTTCCAGAAAAATGATGCCCGTTTTAATGGACAAAATCTCCTCCATTTTTCTAATAAGATTATATCATTGATTCATCTTTTTTGCCTTTATTTTTCTAGGGCTCCCCTGGTGCCAATTTCAGTATCTGTTATAAATGGAGACATGCGAAGCCACACGGCACGAACGAGAACTTCCTGAGCCTCGGCATCCCGCAGGAACGCCAGGGGCCACGCCCGCGCTGTCCCGCCCACGGACGGCGCTCACCTTTGCTGATCTCCAGGTCCACAGGGTACTCGACGTTCTTGACAAGCTTCTGGCACCCGCCGGCCTTCTCGTACACAAACCGCTTCAGGTGCAGCACGAGGACCGGAGGGAGCTTCTCCAGCGTCACCCGGCGGCTCACCTCCACCTGCGGCACAGAGCAGGGCAGGGCGCGCCGCCCTCAGTCCGGCGGCCTCAGGGCCCGTGGCCCGCCTTGCCGGCCACGCGAACGTCCCGCTAGGAGGTCTTCTGAGAGGCGCCTGTTCTCCTCTTACGCAAAAGCCCGCATCCCTGTCAACACAGCGGCGAGGGCCCCGCGGACGCCTGGGCCAGGTGCGGGCCCCACGGCGGGAAGCCCCGCTCTGAGGGCACCTGGGGGGACTCAGTCGGCTAAGCGTCAGACTTCTGGTCAGGTCCTGATCTCCCGGTTCGTGGGTTCGAGCTCCGGGTCGGGTGAGCACAAGCCGCCCCAGGTGAGCCCTGCTTCTTCTCTCTCTCCATCTCTGCCCCTCATGAGACTCTCCCTCTGCCCCTTGCTCACTTATCCTCTCTCTCTCTCAAAAACACAAAACTAAAAACCTTTGCTCCGTGACATTAATGACGAAGTGGCACAAAAATTCAAAAGCTACCTCAGTAGCAGCACCTTGCGTTATGTCTATACCAACATGCTTTTTAGTAACTCCCGCGGGAACTCAAACTGAAGCCAAAGTGTTTCTCGAATTCGGCGTTCTAAGTAACCCAAGAGGGATCTACTCTAAGCCTCAGCTGCACGGAGGCATCATGCCAATCCACCCCCTCGCTGGCGCCCACAGGTCTCACGAACGCTGCTCTTCAGTAAAACATACCCTTGCCAACGATACCTAGTCAGTCCCCTTTATCTCCTCTTCTTCGGAGCTGTGAACGCTCTGACGCTTCCTATAGTTACATGAAGAATCCTTTTGGTAGAAAGATCTGTTTGAGTCATCGCCCGAAAGAGAACGATGGGAGCTGAGCATAGGAAGCTTTCAAGGCCACGTGTGCACCTGGGGGAGGTGTCTTTACGGCCGCCTGGCTTCCCACCCAGACTCGGGTCCCAGGTGGGGACAGGTCTGTGGCCTAGCGCCTCCAGAGCCAATGAGGACTCACAAGCGACCGGCAAGCGTGGCTCCGGCTCAGCAGTTAGAGACCAAGATCCGGGCAAGAGGGACGCGGGCGTCCGCACACTGAACCGGGAGTGGGGCGAGGGCACTGGCCTAGGTCTCTGACCTCACTCTTCCAGGCAATTCACTGGGGCTGATCAGCAATCCTTCCATGTTTTGGGCTCCAGACAAACGGAGACATGTGTCTTCACCCGACAGAACCAGACCCTTCCTACACAGCCAGCACTTCATGTAACCTGTGTCCCCACAGCAAAAATACCTTGTGACCTTAAAATACAGTAACGTTAAATTTGGCATTTTAAAAGGTAAATTCAAAAAAACACATTCCGGAAAGTGTGATGCGTGTTCTTTCCAGATCTCCCCGCCCCATATGTGCTGTCCAAGATCCTCCTTCCTCAAACATCTGCTTTTCAGAGTGTTTTCGCTCTTCCCGGGAACTCACCACCAGCACCACGGGCACCACGGGCACCACGGGCACCACGGGCACCGAGCCGGCACACGCAGCATGCTTCCAGACCCGCCCCGAAGTGCACATGTCACAGCAGCAGGAGAGGAAAAGATGCGTGGGGGGCAGGGGCGCTCTGCCACAGCCCTGGGAGAGGCCGAGTGGCCACCAGCCTCACAGGAGGCCACGGGAGAGCGAGTGAGAGCCATGGGAAGGGGGGTGGGGCCACGGCTGTGGCCACGCCAGCCGAAAACAAGTACCACTTTCCCTCTCGTTGAGCCACCGCCAGACGCAGCTTCCTCACTCGGGCCACGGTTCTGTCTCTCGCTCCACGCTTTTCTGCTTTACACAAAGTGGCCCGTGGGAAGCACGTGGGAATGCAGCGTGGAGGACGCAAGGACACTGCCTGCCCGGGGCAGACAGGCGGCCCCACGAGAACCGCAGCCCCGGCCTCCCCCGCCCTGGTCCCCGTGCGCCTGCGGCCTCACGGAACCCCGCTCCCCAGGGAGGCTACGAGCTGTTCGAACAGGAGCGGCCGGGCTGGCCTGCGTTCGCCTCCCCGACATGTCTTCCCGAATTTCCCAGCGCCATCTCTGCAGTGGAGACGACACCCTCAACCCTGTAGTGCAAACAGGTGTCAGCGGGCACACCGGGCCCCCAGCGGGCACACCCGGCCCCCCAGGCACCGGGGAGCTCTCTGAGGACACCCTGCCTCCCTCCTGACGTGGCTGATGGTTCCCCCACGAAGCTTCTCCCGACTCCTAAACACTAAACTCCTCAGACTTTTCTCCTTCTCAGATCAAACTGAAGACTAACAGGCATGACAGCAGCTACTTTCTATTTTTCGACGTCCTTGAAGGTCTACAATCGAACACAAAATCAGCAGTCTGGAAGCCCTTCCTGGCCCGCCTCAGCTCGTGGGACTGTGCTCTGCGACGTTAGAAGCCGGGTGACGCGGCGCTATCGTGCCGCGATCGGCCCACCGGAACGTGAAACACAGCGCAGGATAAATGATGCCGACGAGCCTCACCCTGGGCTACACGAGGCCGGCAGGACCTTCTGCTTCCTCGCTCCGGTCTAAAACGGGGACGCGTTCGGTCCTACACAGGTGCGCCACGCATGGGTCCGCGAGGCGGAGCGCAGACCCACTTCCCGCCGCACGAGTGCCTCGGCACAAACGTTCGAGATCGACTGCAAATATACCTCCTGTTTGGTTTTCGTGGTGTAGCCTTGGACCGATTCCCTCGCCACCAAGCTCTCCAGTGCGTCCTGGACCGTACGGATCTTGTCAGACTGGATGTCCAGCTGCAACGTGAAAAATGGCTGCAAAGTGGCAGATTCCTTTGAACTCTGCTGATAAACCACAGACCTAAGGACCGAAAACAAAACCAGAAAACTGTGAGAGGCCACCCCTTGCCGCTCACTCTCCCTGAAGATTATTCAGCAGCGGGAGAGCGGCTAACGCTGAGAACCAGACATCTCCGTATCACTTCTGGGAGGCCAGAGAAAAGAAAAGCCAAAAATACCCTGAATTTAAAAATAATCACGCTGAACACTACCTGCTGAGTCCCACTGGCATCCGGGCAGCGGCTGGGCTGCCCGCTTTGCCGGCGCAGGCGCACTGGAAGAAAAGCCTGCTCGTCTGCCACACTCCCTCCCCCCGCTCCGCACTTGCTCTAGCGCACCAGTTAACAACCACCCCTGTCCCGCCATGGCCTCAAAACGCTGCCACTTTTCATTTTCTCAAAGTATCAGAGCTGTTCTAACAGAACAGAGGAAACCCCAAGGTAAACGGTATTTTTAATGGCATTTCCCCCGATGACAATGACTCATAGAAGGAGAGGCGCAGGGTGCGTCCGACAAAAAACAGGCCAGCGTTCCAGGACACAGGGCCACCTTCCACGCCCAACAAGTAGGGCGCCAATTCAACCTTGTTTTCTTAGCTGGTTTCTCATTTCATTTTCCTTTCTCTAAGTTTTTCTGAGTAAAACCTGTGTGCTCAGCCCACCTCTCATTCAGCCCCGGGAAGGAAACATTCCAGGAGCTCAGCGAGAATTCCGCCCCTGCAGTCGGGAGTGACCTAGTTTACAAACGGAATTGGACGGCTGTGCGTGGGGATTCAGACTTCACAGGGCGGGCGGCCCGAAGAGCGGGCGGCCCGAAGAGCGGACTAAGCGCCTTCCTGCCTTGGGCTTCACGTCCACACGTGCTCTTGTGCCACACGGTGTCTGGAAGCCTCTCCGTGCTCCCTCGAAGGGTGCTCACCTGACGGCAATGGCCGTTCCCCCGGTTCCAAAAGCAGCAGGGGGAGAGGCGGCCACTACAGCTGGTGGGGGAGTGAGAGGCTCCCTCCTGACTCCCACGGCCTGGACTTCATTCAAGGTCGGGGCGGGGGGGTGTGTGAAAAAAGTGCCGGTTATTCCAGGGGAGGGAAAAGTCTCCCAAGGAGAGTGAATGTGAAAAGAAACCCATGCTTAACGATGGCTACGCCACACAGAGAAGTTCCTAAATTCAAAGAAACAACTCCAGTCTTTGCTCTGTCATCTCTCCAAAGTATCAACAATTAATTTCAACGTAAAAACCCCGGCAAGGCCAAGGCCGGAGGTCGTGGCAGGGCCATGCAGGCCAAGCTAGAAATTTCTCCAAAGTGGATTCTGGGTCTGCCCACTCGTTATCTGCAAACAAATGTGAGCTCTGGGCACTCGGGCCTCAGGAGCCCCGCAATTCTCACACCGCGCCTACAAACACGGTGCCGTGACAACCACTGGGCCCACGAACGCTGCCATCAGGCTGCCGGCCTCACGCAGAGCTAAGGGCAGAAGACGGCCTTCTCTCACCGCCGGGCCTCCCCTCGTCCCTGCTTCCCTTCCTGAACAGCCCAGCCCAAGGGATCGTATCCGGCAACACCGCATTACAGGGCTGGCAGCGAGGGGTCGGGTGTCCCAGGGCCCACCCGAGCCCACAGCCGACGCAGAGACATCCTCACAGCAAGGGGCACGGGGCTGACCCACTCAAGGCGGCGGCCTCTGAACGCAGCCCAGCACCGCAGCACTGCCCGCCGCGCAGGAGCCAGGCGCTTGGAGGGGCTACTAGCCTAACGGAAAGGGGCTCGACCTGAGTTGCTTTAGAGCAGAGAGCGCCGGAACTACCCTTCCCCGCTGTGGAGAGGGTGGTACTTCTTTCGGGTTCACGGCCTTTGGGATGAGCTAGGCTGAGTCTCCCTGAAAAAACCAGCCTCATAGACTATAACCCGAGGCCATCTGAGAGACCCAGCTCCGAGGGGGTCCTTCGGGACTCGGGACACCCGGGCCTCCCCAGAGATGGCCCCAGCGCACCTGAGCTCCGCGTCACAGCGGTCATCACCACCCCCAACACACTCAAGTGAGCTCTTCTAGAAAGAGGTCTTACAGAGCAATGAGGGAGATGCCCACGGGGCTTAGTTGGTGAAGCTTTGGCTCAGGTCACGATCTCAGGGTTCGTGGATTTGAGCCCTGCGTTGGGCTCTGTGCTGACAGCTGGGAGCCTGGAGCTGCTTCGGATTCTGTGCCTCCCTCTCTCCCTGCCCCTCCCCCGCTCATACTTTCTCTCTCTCAAAAATAAACAAACATGAAAAAGAAAATGTAAAGAACATCGAGCATCAAGGGGCGCCTGGGTGGCTTAGTCGGCTGGGCGTCCGACTTTCGTTTAGGTCATGATCTCGCGGTTCGTGGGTTCGAGCCCCGCATCGGGCTCTGTGCTGACTGCCAGTTCGGAGCCTGGAGCCTGTTTCAGAATCTGTGTCTCCCTCTCTCTCTGACCCTCTCCTGTTCACACTGTCTATCTCTCTCTCCTAGAAATAAATAAAAATTAAAAAAAAAAAAAAAAAAAAGAACATCGAGCATCTGGTTTAAGGGAACTGGGCCAGAGGAGGTGCTCAGGCCCTCCAGGCGCCCTGAGCATCCCTTTATGTGAAAGGCTCTCCTTCCACGCTCCCTTCGTTCTAGCTCACTCGGTTCCAGCCAGAAGTCCTCCAGCCAGACACAGAGTGTCTCCTCTTAACAGAACCTGCATTCCAACTTAACAAGTCTTTCTACCTAGCCGTGAGCGGCTGGCCTGAGGGGGGGGGGAGTGCTGATGGAAGGAGCAGTCACTGGGCCGCCGGGGCCTGGGGGACAGTGCCCGGGCCCGAAGTGCCTGCGCGGGGTGACAGCAGTGAAAGCACTAGGCAGGAGAGGCACAGAGCAGGCACGGAGGCACAAAGGCAAACCACGGAGTCCAATATTTCTTAGACATGCCTTACACCTTCCCCCTTCAGCAAAATGGCCAAGCCCTGAAAAAGGCCGACACTAAAGTATATTCCAGAAAAGTGTAAACCTGATGTGTCCACCAAAAATGCCGGTGATGGGGGTCTGAACGAAGTCCGCCTGGCGAGTGACCGCGGCCTTGTTCCTGGGCCCCACTTGCTCCCACTCGTCCTCGCTGCCTTCGCCCGGCTCCTCCTGCGGGTCCTCGTGCGCGGGGTGGCTTCTAGGCCCGTTGGAAACGGCGAGTTCTGAAAAGGAGATGGTCGGCTTAGGCTACGACTGGCAACAAGAGGAGCAAAACATTTTCCTTAACGAAGGGTCCACGTAGCCACCCGCACAGGAGCTCGGAACGTGAAACACGGCGTGTTCTGCAGCAGCAGCAAACGCGACGCCGAGCCCGCCGGACCCCGCCTGCACACGCCACCGCTGACGGCGCCGCGGGGACGGCGCGGGAGCTGGGAAGGCGGACCGGAGCCCGGCAGCACGGTGCGCCGCGGCCCGTCCTCTCGGCGTGCTCAGGGGCTCTGCTCACGCAGGGGCGCAGCCTCATCCCCGGCACTCGCGTGCTCTGGCACTTTAGGGGCGACCTTCTGAGCTGTTACTTCCCACTTAATCTGCGTCACTCAGGACACGTGTGCGCACCGTGTGCAGGGACAGAGAGACAAAGAGCGACAAGATGTTACCAGGTGCAAACCCAACGGTTACACAGGCACTCGCCAAACTGCTCTCGAGCTTTTCCATAGATTTGGTCATTTTCCTAATTAAAAGTGGAAGGGAAAACAACAGAGGTTCTGGATGTACTCTGATTTATCCAAATGAAGCATTCTCGACAGTATAAAAACAAGCAGTGCAGAGAAAACCAGTGTCGCCCTAGTGAGAACGTGACTGAAAGGGCCAGCGACCCGGGGAAGAAGCAGCTAAGTACACGCGCACGCGACATCTGTTCAAAATTAACTCTGAAGGAAACGGTCTCGCACAGCTTCGTGGCGGAGACCGTAACCTACTTTGGTTATTGGGTGACAGGAGTTTCTTCAGGTTCAGCATTTCCTCGTGAAGCCCATTCAGGATGAAGCCCAGGTACTCTTCCGCATCTTCCTGGCGCCCCTGAAGGCAGACGTGAGCACGTTAGCTGGGGGCGGTCAGCACGCAGGGCACACAGGGAGCACGGCACCCGCACACTCGCACGCGCCCTCCTCCTCGGCTTTAACGAGATTCCGTGTAAAGTGTTCCCAGAATCACGGGACTTCCTCGGCTGCTGAAGTGGGGGCAGCTAGGGGGGTGAGGATGGGGGGGTACAAAGGAAACCTTTATGTCTGAGCACTGAATGAGCAGGAATTTTTATTACGTTTCCGTATTTTTGAAATTCTCTACAAGATATATACGTTGCCTTCCCAATAAAAGTTACTTAAAACTGCTCTCCTGTTGACGTGAATGAGAACAAGCACCAGAGACCAGGCAGGGGTAAAGGTCACGCTGTGCCCGTGAGGAGGAGTCTGTGTGCCCTCTGTCGGCCATGACGGGACTACAGGGGAAAGGACCCAAGACCCGTGGGCATCTCTGATTCAAAGACTTGGGAACAGTCTTACGTCACATGCACATCAGCAGGTCCATCCCCACAGGAGTCACACAAGAGCCAAATACCCGTTTTATAACCTCGGGATGCGCTCCTCTGTCCCTCTCTGGAGAAGAACCACGTGTCCCAAGGACCTGCGAGCCCCCCTTGCAGACCCGGGTACTCGCTCCGAACAGGACTCCAAACGCATGCGGCCACTGGGTATGGGGTGCGCCCGGCGTGCATGGGGCAGGGCCGGAGCCAGCAGCTCCCAATGCCATTGTTCCCAGGAAGGGCCCCCAGCTGGGTCGCACCCTGGATGGCACCTGGGACCTGGGGTCTGGGGAGCCCCCCCAACTCCAAGAGCTGGGGGGGGGGGGTGTGCCCGAACCGCACTGCACGGTGGACACTGAGCACCTGCTCTCCTGGCGCGGGCCTGGCACTCTGGCCTGCGCTGGGCAGAGCGCACCTGCTGGTGTGACACCCCCGGTGGCCCTGGGCACGGATTCTTGGACGCGCCTCCCTAGCACACAACACCTCTGCACGTGCTGACGCGGGAGCTGAGCGCGTTCTGTGCGATGCACCAGGACGGGGGTCTCGCGGTTTCCCGCAGGCTGGACGTCTGGCCCTGCCGAGGGTCCTCGCGCCGTCCTGACCCCTAACCGTGCGGCTACCAGCTTCTGAGTCCTGCGAGTCCTCGTGTCGAACCGCCACGCCTGAGCGTGCTTGGGGGACCCGACCCCGCCCACACTCATGTAACTTCAAAGGACGCTTCCATCCACGAACACACCTTGGAAGCCGGATCTCAGTGGGACTCAACCTCGGGACTCCCCTGAACTTCATGGCTTTTGCTCAGCCTCCACCTGGGCTGGGTGCCCCTCTGGCTTCTAAAGCAGCTGTGCTTGCACCCACCTTAGTACTGCTGCTGCTGTCTGTTTCCTTGGAGCAAACGCGGAATTCCCCTACTGGACAGTGAGCTCTCTGAGCAGGGGTGCAGGGCCACCCACTCCTGCCTTCCTGACACTCGGCACATCCCCCCTGGAAGTGCAAGTTTGGAACCGAAGACCGAAAGGCACAATTCGAGCAGCACAATGCCCGTGGTGGGCTCCTGTGGCACGGGCCTGGCCCCTCAGCCTCCGTCAACACACTTCCTTCCGTTTTCATGCAGCTTTCTTTTTTTTTTTTTTTTTTTCTGATGATTTTTCTCTCTAAATAATTTCCTAAGCATCATTTCAATCACTTGTACTGACTCATCACCAACTGTCAGGGAGGAAAGAGACGCTCGGTTAACTCTGCATGTCACTGTGGACAGCGGTCCGGGCCTACGCAAGACCCCTCGGCCCCTGGTCCCGGGCCTGCAGTAGCAAGAGTGTGTGACCAAGATGTAGGTAAGAGAGTCAAGGAGCTGCTGAAACGTGTGGGTACGAGGAAGACACAGGTCTCCCAAAGGCCACGGTTCCGGGCCCAACGACCACGCTCCACGTGAAAGGCAGCTTGGCGAGCAAGGACCTGGTGGTAAAGCCAGGCGCTGCATTTCTGGGCTCCGAGGCCTGGGAAGAGGATTTCCCTTTCCTCAAATGTAACAGCGAGATAAGCACAAACAGCGAGATAAGCACAGTTTACTCACGGGGCTAAGAAGCTGACGGACAGGAAGAACTTACAAACTTACAGGAGTGCTTGGTGCACAGCACATGGTGCTTGACCTGCCTCTGGTGATGAGGATTATCATCATGTTCTTACATTTCATTCAAGCAGCTGAGTGCGGAAGAGGCCTACAGATCTACCGAACAGCCACCAGTGCCAGCGATGCCAGCGCAGTGCACGCGCTGGACAAGCAGGGAGCGGAGCTACACGGGAATGGCGCCCAACCTTTTCAGACAGGCTCGACTTGATCACGGTCAGGAGTCTGTAAATGTACGTAGGTTCAAAGGCAGCTCCGGGGCGGATATCCCTCACGACTTTATCCCCAAGGGCTGCAAAAGAGACAAGACACGGGTCCTCATAACTAAAATGGAGTCTGAAGTGAGGAAGGGCACCTTCGCGAGCACATCCACCGCCCCCACGCGCCGCGGAGAACAGCACAGGGGCCGCAGCTGACATATTAAAGACCTTTACTTTCCGACACGACTGAACGTGTGAGACTCAGCCACCTGCCTCCCCAACCGCCCGTACGCGATGCGTCAGGAGCCCCCGCTGCTACTCACCTTGTCTGGGTTTGGGAGGTACTGGCATATTAGTAAACTCATTCATGAGCCGCACACTAAACACAGGGGAGAAAAAGGTTAGCGCATTTTTTTAAAAGACAGACTTTTACGAAAGAGCCTCTAGGGCTGCGCAAATACTAGTTAGCACGAAGGAGGCAAACTTTCGGTAACCAATGTGGTAACAGTGGCTCTTATATCTTTTCTATGCATGCTTCTGGAAGGTCTCCAGGGACGGACACTGGCAAACACTAAACTGACGTAACAAACCTGAAGAACACAATGCTCCAAGTCCATTTCGGGTTACCTTCCACGTAAGACCACAGACAGTACATTTTTGAAAAATGAAAAATTAAAGGATTTCTTTGCTAGAAAGGAAGAACTTCGCTGAACGGTGCGAATCTGAATTATCAGAGGCGAAAACGGCCCAGCCCCTCAGCACACCCGCGGGCCCCTTACTCACAAGCTGTCTATCATGGGCGTGGATGTGCAAGGCCTCTGCACCTTTGAGTACAGAGGGATGAGCTTCATCAGGTGGTACATCGGAGGACAGGCGACCAGGGCCTGCAGCGTCTGAGGAGCGGCGGTAAGGAAGCGTGAAGGAAACGAAAGGCACCCACACTGCTGAAAGCACGTTAAACACAAAGCGTGTATAAAACTAAACAAGCCGAGGACACGGGAAGACGTACAGACATAAACTTTTAGGGGATGAACCAAACGACCGTGGGGACAAGCGCCCTGTGGCTTCCATGTAAGGCTTTACTGTGCAGTCAGCAGTTTACACACAAACCACAGCTCTACCGAGACACATCGACTAAAGCAGTGTTTCCACTGAGAGTGGACGCGCTGCCCCGTTACTCAGGCCCCCATCATGAAAACAAAACTTGCCTGATTATGTCCCTCTCCAGTCAACAAATCATCTACTCTGGTCAGCAGTAACTCTACCCATAAGCAAGGGAGGCAGACTAAGTGAGGACCCAAGTTTTCGGATTCAAACTTGGGGGCAGAGGCCCCAGGGCAGCTGAACTAAGTCACATGCGCTGGAGGCAGGGAACACTGCGGTCAGCGGGCCGTGGAGACGGCACATGAGAAGGATACAGCATTAATGTAGCACCAGTTTCCTTTATTGATCAGCCCGCGGGGTTGCAATGACACTGGCTTATGTATTAGGGTCACATTCTCCAGTAACTCTGAAAGAGCGAAGAAGATACGTGAGAAGTTAATGACACCCAGTGAGTACAATGAGCACTAAAAACCCCTCGAGAAAGCACCTGTCCAACGAAAAGGCATCAGGCGTGGAAGCTTCACAGGGTCCAACATCATGGACGATATTCGAGGATTTAAAGCTTTTAAAACTATTTCCCCCCCAGTTCCTCCCAAACACTACATTTACTTATCTTCCCACGGGAATCCGGCTCAGGCGCGTGAGGACTATTTTAACAAGAAGGAGGAAAGGCTGAACCATGTCGGGAAGAGCCAACAGATCTGAAAGACACAGGCTTTTCCCTTCACGCTGATGCGAGGCAGGCCGTGCTGACGGCACAGTCCCTCGAACACCAGCTATGGAGTTCAAGTGCAGAACCTGAGCCTGAGCGCCGGGACCCCCTACAGCCTCTGCGGCTCCCCCTCCCCACGGCCCAGGGACGGTCGGTCCCGGCTCAGGCTCAGCGAGGGATGACGTTCCGGAGATGGCCGTCCCCTACGAGCTCAGTTCCATTTTCTATGAGCAGTCAAAGTACGGGATGTTTTGTGGCCTCTAACGCCCTCCCTCCAGGCAGAAACAGCCTTCTTCGCGGCCACCCTGGCCACTCTCCTCTGGTCCTCAGACAGATAGGAGTGCTATCTCCATACGACGCTCTAATCATTCGATTAAATGCTTTAAGTACTTTTTCTTGGTAAAGTTTCAAAATGAGACTGTCTCCCCTTGTCCCGTTACGAATCTCTCACCAGTGATGCCACGAACCCCTTCTACACGGGCATGTGCCGCACGACTCACAACCACTAACGGGCAGCGCTGATCCACAGGAATCAGAGCACCGGCACTGCTCCCCTTTCACCGGGAAGGAAACCGAGTCTGACATGTCAGCTAGCTTGCATGCGTGGCCCAGGAGCTGCGACATAACACGGCCACAGCGCCCAAAAGCCCTGATCCATGGCCACCCCACCCACACTGCCTTCTTCTCCTTGTAAACTGTGTCCCAGAAAAGAAAAAGTAAGTGTATGTTTGATGTCAGCATCCATCCAAGGCCTCAAACAAAAGCAGCTTTTCAACTCTAACCCACAGCTGGACTGGCAGGTCTCAGACTTAAGCATTAAATGAAGAAATCAATTTGCCAAATTTGACCGTCTGCATGCACATACTCCCTCCCTCCCGGGACAGAAGTGCCCTCTTTCCCCTGACTGACGAGGCATGGTGACTAATTTGCCCATTTATAAAAAGCAAAGCATCACAGGCCCAAGAAAACCCCGTGGGATCCGTCCAGTGAGCCTGGGCTCACACAGCTCTGCTCTCTCTCCTGCTACGGGGCGAGGACGCCATGAGGCACAGAGCTGGGCTACACGTGCAGGGGAGAGCTTGCGGCCTAGACGGGGCACGGCACGGGGCAGCCACTGTGCCGCGGCCTCGGCTGTGGCTTGTTACCGTCCTCACGACCCTGTCGAGGAGACACTGCTGTCCTCCTCACGTCCCAGGCGAGAGGACAGAGGCCCGGAGGGTCAGGGAGCAGGTGCGGCTGAGTGCCTGGGCCGGCTGTGACCCGCGTCTGCTCCCCCCCGCAGGTACGGGCCCCGCACGCCTGAGATCCCCTACCGGCTACAGGGGCGAGCACGGGCGTCTGAGGTATGTTATCACCACGGCCCCCCCATCTCCACCCCCCCCCCCGCCAGCACGTGCCGCAGAATGGCAATCACTTCATATAATCATTCCGTTAAAAAATCTGTGCGTTTTCAAAAGGCATTCGTCCCAGATGATCGCAGCAGAGGCCCGGCCCGGGGGTCTTTGCCATAGCACTTTTGTATCTACAAACACAAACACCACTTTTACTGAACGAACCACAAGACTCAAACCAACCTCCCTCCTGCCACACAGACCTCTGTTAAACGACACGCTGCTCCTGGCCGAGTCCCGCGGGGGCACCGGGTCCCGGGAGCACAGAGGTGACGAAGAGGTGGCCCTGCTGCAGGACAGCTGGAAGACCCGTGCAGAGGGGACAACCCAGGGCCAGCTGAGCCGAAGGGGGATAGGCGGACGGGACGCTCAGCCCAGTCCAGATGCAAGCACCTGTGAGATGGCCGGGGCCGAGGACAGCAGCTGGCACTGCAGGGTCTCGGGCCGGGGTGCTGGCGCCTCACCCACCCCCCCGCCCCGCCCCAAGCAGGCTTCTTGTTTTGTACAGCGACGGGATCACAGGGTCAGAGGTGCTGACACAAGGTACACAGGTTACACCAGTCAACAGCATGCGCACACCCACAGAGCAAGTGCCACACCTACGCGCACACATGTACACACACACACACACACACACACACACACACACACACCAGCCCACAGCTCAGAGCTGGCACCAAACACCCTCAGGAGGAGGATGTGTCAGGAGGGGGGCCCTAAGCACCGCCCGCATCTAAGTGGCCGGCCAAGAGGAACCTAGAAGGCTGTGGGGGGTTGAATTAACCATGGAGGCGGAAGCAGCCTCCAGGGCCCCAGGAAGGAAAGCCTGAGTGGTGCAGCCCGAAGCCTGCCTGAGGGGTGACTCCGGAGGGGCTCTGGGAGGGAGGGAGCCAGGGAACGGCTGACTCACCTCGGTCTATGCTGGGGAAAGAAAGGAAACAGGGATCTCAATTTCTTTTGAGGATTCAGAGGAGGCAGCGGCTTCTACGGTGGGGGGAGGGGCAGAGACAGAAGAGGGAGGTGGCTTAGTGACAGTAATTCTTGTTTAGCAAGAAGACACTGAAGAAAAATGGAAAGAAAATGAGAAGACCTGAAACTTCCCTCCCATGTTAAGTGTATTAACAGACTCAAAAACATGTTTGTAGGTGGTCAAAATTGAATTATATCTTGTTAATGAAAAAAATCAACTCCAATATCAAAAGGGAAACAGGCTTAGGGGCACCCGGGGGCTCAGTCGGTTAAGCGTCTGACTTCAGCTCAGGTCATGATCTCACGGTTCATGGGTTCAAGCCTCGCATGGGGCTCAGTGCTGACAGCTCAGAGCCTCGGGCTGCTTCGGATTCTGTGTCTCCCTCTCTCTCTGCCCCTCCCCCACTTGTGCGCTCGCTCTCGCTCGCTCTCTCTCTCAAAAATAAACATTAAAAAAAAAGGGAAACAGGTGCAAAAACATCAAGAACTAACTGCTCTATGTGGCCCTGGAAAACACACCTCCTCTTATGCTTGTAACTGAGCCACGTGCCCAGAATAACCGCATGCCAGCAGGCTGAGACATGGAATCGGAGAGGATATCAACTTCAAGTTGACTGCTGGCTGCCTTCTCTCCCACACTGACCTGGGGAGCAGCATGCACTGGCTGGACAGAAACCTTTAGTTCCTACATTGAACCTTCCCTTTGAACCATCTCCAGCTGCTGGCAGGCGTCATATATTCACAGCTCTCGGTTCACGTATTTTAAGGGAGGGTGGAAAAGAAAAGCAATCTCACTTTTCGCCTTCTACAATCTTAAATCCAAGTCTCTCAGCACCACCCAGTGGTCTGCTCAATGACTGCAATTAACAGAACATTCCAAACCACCATGTATCCACAAAATGAACAAGGCAAAAACGCAGACGCATAATCTGGAACGGAAGGACACTGGGTGCACCGACCAGAGGAGGCACTGAGCTAGCTTCAAGTCGCCAACATTCTGTACAAGAGCGTCTGCCACCGTAGTCAGAAGTTTGTAGATTACTATCTTCATAGCAGGACAGACAGAGAAGAAGCACTGAACAATCTGGATTTTCCTGATCATGCTGCTGCTCTTCTGGAAGAAGGCAAGTCTTACTCAGGCTAAACTGAAGTTACTACTCTGTTAGGATCTGCCAGTGAACCCAAACACCACTCTTCCGGAGGGCACGCCATCACCCGCCGTGGCACTGGATAGCCCCCTCGCGCCACTAAACCGCTCTGCTCCGTCCTTGCTGTTTGGGTCCCAGAGGTGACCGGCCCTCTCTGTCCCGGCCTGACCTTGCCACCCCCACTGATGCCAGCACATCTCCTTCTGGCCTCAGGCCCCCAACCCCCCGCGAATGATTACTGTCTCTCTGCTACTAAGCGTGGACATCTGTTCCGCTCTCATCTGACTCTTCAGACAACACTCAGGGCAAGGCCAATCGTTACTCACTGACCCAGAGAGCGGGTGGCAGACGCAGAGTAATTACTACGTGTCACGTGGGGGTGAATTAAACATCTGGAGACTCACACTGCCGGTTACGGTAAATGATTCCATTCAAGTTTGTTAGAAATGACCCGCCTAGTCTGACGGTCACTCTAGCACACCGTCAGGAAGCCTCCAGGAGCCCCCAGGAAGGAGGCTCAGGGTCCGAGCCCAGGAAGACTACGCAGAGGACTGGTATTCAGACCCGGACTCTGCCGCCTCACTCACCCCCACCCCCCCACAGCAGACGGACAGGCTGCACCCACAGGCCCTGGTGCACGCTCGACGGCCCCACAGGCCTGCAGCAGCGCCCAGCAGGGCGGCTGCACATCACAGGGGCTCACAATCCTCACCGGAACATAACGAACCGTGGGCGCCTGTGGGGCTCAGTCGGTTGGGCGTCCAACTTTGGCTCAGGCCAGGATCTCACAGTTCATGGGTTCGAGCCCCACACTGGGCTCTGTGCTGACAGCTCAGAGCCTGGAGCTGCTTCAGATTCTGTGTCTCCTTCTCTCTGCCCCTCCCCTGCTGATGCTCTCTAAATAAATAAACTAACAAACATTAAGAAATATATATTTAAAAAAAGGAAATAAATAACTCATGTGGCAGGAAGAGAATGAAAAAGGAAATTAACTTATGGAAAGCTCTGAGCAAGCCAACAACTTTCCGTACTCCAAGAAGTTAAATTACTTGAAATTAAGTTTCGAATATTTTGTGAACATTTGTCAAAAATTCTGTTTCAAAAGAAATGAGAGTTTGTACAAAATTAAGATTAAATATCTTCTTGGGGCGCCTGGGGGGCTTAGCTGGTTAAATGTCCGACTCCTGGTTTCGGCTCAGGTTGTGATCTCACGTTTCGTGGCTTCGAACCCGGCGCGGGGCTCTGTGCTGACAGTGTGTAGCCTGCTTGGGGTTCTCTCTCTCCTTCTCTCCCTGCCCTTCCCCCACTTGCTTTCTCTTTCTCTCTCAAAATGAATACACTTTAAAAAAAGAAAGATTAAATAACTTCTTGTCTGGAACTTCTCATACGAAACACGTCCAACGGGATGTAAAGCTTTGGTTTTGTTACCACCATATGCTGCCCCCGCCCCCCACCGAACAACTGCAACAGCCGCACACCAGGAGGAGCCCCCGCGCTTGGCAAGGTCAGCGAGCTCCTCTTCTCTGTCCCAGTGAAACACACATGCAAAGATCTGAATTCCTTTAAGTGACCATCTGCCTCTATTACTGAATCCTGTTAAAATCCATGAATCCTGCCGCTATAGTTCAGCTCAATTATTCTTGACTTGCAGACAAGCCAGTATGAACATGGATTTGGTCTAACTCTTCCGCTCTATTTAATTAAGTTCCTTTTATAACATCACCTATTCCATTCACTACTGTATTTCTATCCTGAAGTCCAGTAAGTACTGTAATTATTACTGAGATCAAAAGAATTAAAACCAGGAAGGGTAGAGCCAAAGTACAAAAGGCAGGTACTTCCTGAGGCTGGAACCTGAAGATGGACCTGCCTGCGAATCAAAATCACCACTGTGGGTTCTCTACTGTACCTTCTTTCAGGGCAAATAGTCACAAGTTAACTGTAACAGCAAACTTCTCCCCCAGAGGCCTTCCTTCCGGTTCATTACTGTCGGTGTAATTCACTCCTCGGATTCAGGATCCACGGACACCGCAGCTTTGGGAAGCTGCTCCTCCCTCCACCCTTGCGCGGGGCTGGGGGCTGCCACACGCCGTGGTGGATGGCACAGAACGCAGAAGGGCCCCGGCCACATACAAGGTACGAGGTTGAGACCGGTGCCCTCACTTCTCTAACAGCTTAAACATTAAATGACTGAACTAAAACTCAACTTTCTTATGAGATCTGCTGACACACGGAAAAACGGAGTGGTCAACAGCCCTCCTTGCATCTGAGGATGCGTGCCGTGGCTCACATACATTGCCAGATATCGTCCCAATGAAATGGTTTACAAACTCTGAGGCAACACTCGCACCATAAACTTTTAAGTCACCATAAGGGAGGATTATTTTTATATGTACTTAATGCATCAAATTTTGTTTTCCTAAAATTAGGATGTAGAGGTCATATTACCTGTTAAAATCTATGAAAATGCAGGGCAGAGAACTTTCCTTGATTCCTAAGGCCCAGTAACTGGCCTGCAATCCACACTGTGACGCGGACCTGCCTTTCTGTCACTCCCTCAACTGTCCAGCACGCCCTGCACGTACTGTCCTGTCCGCACTGCATCACTCTGGAAGAACACGTGCTCTCCTGGTTACCGAATCGGGGGTAGGACCGCAGAGTGACCAAAACGTACCACTCTCCATTGGCTACACAGACCAATACGTGCTTTGTAAGTGAGGGGGTCTCAATTGAGTTCTGCAGGACAGAGACACAGCGCAAATGCCAGCAAGGTCATACACACACTGAAGCTGACCTGTCCGTCCACAAGCAGGGACTCCTACAAACAGGTGCTGGAAGGACCCCTGCAGCTCAGAGTTTGCTATATTACCACTACCTCCGCTACTCTGGAAAATTTGAAAATGAAAGTATTTAAGAAATCATTCCCCTAGGAAAAAGGAAGTATAAATATGATTTATAACCACCCAAAAATGACCAATCACAAGGTGTGTGTGGCTCAGGAGGTTAATTGTCTGACTCCTGATGTTGCTCCGGTCATGATCTCACAGTTGATGCTATCGAATCCCACGATGGGCTCCGTGCGGGCAGCTCGGAGCCTGCTTGGGATTCTCGCTCTTCCTCCCTCTCTTCCCCTCCCCCGCACACGCATGCTCTCTCATTCCTTCTCTCTCTCTCAAAATAAACAAACTTTAAAATAAAACAAAATAGGGGCGCCTGGGTGGCTTAGTCGGTTAAGCGTCCGACTTTCGCTTAGGTCATGATCTCGCGGTTCGTGGGTTCGAGCCCCGCGTCGGGCTCTGTGCTGACTGCCAGCTCAGAGCCTGGAGCCTGTTTCAGTCTGTGACTCCCTCTCTCTCTGACCCTCCCCTGCTCACGCTGTCTCTGTCTCTCTCTCCTAGAAATAAATAAAACATTAAAAAAATAAAATAAAATAAACTACATTTTTGCTTAGACAATTAAAATACCTTCTTAACTGACCTAATCAAACTCTGATTAAGAAAAGAAACCCACTGGGGAGGCACCGCCGCAACTCAAAATACTCGGACTGTCGGTGGCAAGAGACAGCAAATTCCTGCCTCCACAGCAGTTTACAGGCAGGTGAGTAGATTTTAGCAGGTGAGACTGTAACATACGTACAACACAGCAAACTATGTATCAAACCACATTTAAAGTTACCCGATTAAAACGTTTTAAAACATTTAAAATGAAGATATTCTTCCTTATTTGAAATAAAGACTAAGAAAATTTCCCAGAAACTGGACGTTTTCCTTCATGAAATAATTTACAGGAACAAAACCTAAAGTATAACAATCTTCTTAACTTTGAACTCAGATGCACATTTTAAAAACATCCCACCATGCATTTCTCATATAAAGTTTGAAAATAAAACTTTTAACTTCATGATCCTTACACAGGTTTACAATGTCTTATCCTAACAACTTTCCCTTGCAACGAACACACCATAAGGCTCAGAATAAAGAAATCGCTTAATTTTTAAACATATATGTGAAGCCCAAGACGACTGCCCTACCAATTGCCTCCCCATTTTAAGAGAACTCTAGACACTAAGATGACTCACAAGGCTGTGTTTTTTAGTTGCTGGAATTCTGACCATTCGTAACAGGGGACGTGTTCTGCAGCTGCTACGGCGCCGACCCCCATCCCGGTGACAAACGCTGCAAGGTGCTCCCAGCGTTACGTGAGCAGCTTCACACACGGCCGACAGGCGCAGCGTATTTTAACTCAGCTAATGGGGCAAGATCCTGAAGAGCTGGTTACTGAACTTCTTGGTAGAGCGAAACCTGAGAAATACTTGGGCTTCTTCAGTATGTATAATGTAGGCAGGCCCTGCATTCTGACTCCCAGCAACTAACTGTAAACCGGCCCTGATTCCCAGCAACGTTAACTGTTAACTGTAAACTGTGAAGCCTGCACTGTCAGAACAAGTCATCAACTTGGGCCCAAACTGCTGTAGTTTTCCTTTTCCTGCTGAGAGTTGACCTTGGTGTGCTACAAGCAGTCAAATCCACGTACTTAATCCAAAACAGGTAATAAAAAGAAAAACCCCCGAAAGCCTTCTAATGTCCTAAGAAATGACAGAACTGAAGCAGCACAAAGCTGAGACCACAACAAGGACCCCACAGTGACGGTGTGGGGCAACTGTGAGGCGGGCCGAGTCCATGCACTTCACATGATGGAGTTACTGGATCAAAAGGCAAGAAAGGGGAAATGTAACCAGTCAACAGAAAAGGACTGGTAACAGACACAGACTGTTCCCTTAACATAAAGGTATGAGCCCCCCGCCCCCTGCATCGTGCTTAGATAGCCTTTCACTTCTAGACGTGTGACAATGAAGGTGAAGGCCCAGCCATTCTCGAGAAATGGCCAGCAGCACACAGGTCACGGCCTGCTGCTGTGCTAACCGTCAGCCCGACCGGCCTCCACCTCGCTGGACTGGAGCGGAGCCCTGCTCCCGTGTCCACTTTTGACCTGTGCCCCTAGGACTGTACCTGCGATCTTTATGGCTACGGGGTCCTCTGACACTGGAACAAGCCCTTCTTTGACTTCGACCTGCTTTTCAGAGGCCAGGGGGGCCGGGACAGGAGGGGAAGGCTTAGTTTCCACAGAAGCCACGGGCAAGGAGGAAAAGGGCTTAGAATCGTGAAACAGGCTGGCCCAGGACTTGGGCGGGCCGGCGGGGGCGGCGCCCGCCGTGGAGGCCGGGGCATCGGCAGCAGGGGACGTGTGCTCGGCCTTGGTGGGGTCCGAGTCCGGGCCGTCCACGGTGTGCAACTCAACCCCATTGGCTGCTGGGCCCTCACCAGAGGATTCAAGTATTTGTCCGTTAGCAACGGCAGGGTTTTCAGTAGTATGAGCTCCCACGTGAGGCTGGGCCACGGCTGTCCTGGACAGGCTGTCCCTGGCGGCCTCGGCGGGGAGGCAGGGCTGCTCCGAGTCGGCCCCGCCGCGGCCCCCGGGCGGCCCTGCAGTCCTCGCGTGGCCGTCGGGGGCCCCGGGGAAAGGCCCGCCACACACGGCGTCGCCGCCAAAGTCCGCACAATCCTGAGGGCTGCCGCAAGTCCTAGGCGTCCCCAAGGGGGGCGCTTCGCCCGCTAACTCCACGTCCTCGGAGCCCACGCTGTTGGGGACGGCGGGGTTGGCGTGGCCATTGACCAGGGCGTCTGCGGGAATGCTGCCCTCGCCGCCATCTTTCAAGTAACTGTAATATCCTGGGGGACGTTTTTTCTTCTTTTTACGCTCCCTTTGTCCGAGACCGCCCGCGACACCATCGCTCTCTAGGGCCCCCACCTCCGCGCCAGTGCCGGCGTCCAGGGCGAGGGCGGGGCCTGGGCACAGGCAGTCCGCGGGGCTGAAGGCCGCGTCCTTATCTACGCCGTCAGGGGTCTTTGTGGAAGGTGTGCAACTGAGGATAAATTCAGGGGCCTGAGGGTTCAGTGTGCTTGAAATACTGCAGTCAGGGGTTCCCGGTGAAGTGTCGCTGGGCTCAATCGCTTCATTAACACCAAACTCAATTCTCTGATACTCTCGTCCTGTTCAGAGAGAAAACGATCAGTGAACGTCCCATTAGTTGAGAGCATAGTTCTTCACACTATAAAAGTCTCAGTAATTATTTCCTTTTTGAAACCAGACCCTTAAAGTCTCCTTCTAATTAACAAAGCTATGGTGTTTTATTTCTGTGCCAAATAATCTGCTGAGAAAAAACAGCAACCATGAAATTGTGTTTAACTTAGAGACAGGAGAAGCAGGAGCCGGTATTTGTTCTCCCCTCTAGGGGCAGCTAGGGAGACTCTCAGAAGGCAGTCATTTAAATGAGATCATAATAGAAAGCGAGTAACATATTGCCCGTCTGAACACACCCCTCGGTGAACTCCCAACTCTCCTGGCTTACCTTCTGGGGTGCACAAGTTTTATTAGTTTACTTTCTGGGGTGCACGCATGCTGGACAGCTTAATTAAAAAAAAAAGCCATGACGACCAACGTAGGGACTTAAGAGTTGCTGCTGTACCTACGGCTTCCCTAATCAGCGGAATCTAATCACCCGGAAACCACGAGCTGCGCCACGAGCCCCCCGCACACAGCAGCCCACAAAGGCGCTCCTCACAAGCACCCGCCTCCTGGTCTCGCCCACTGACGACCTTCATGGAAGTCTGAAAACGGCGTCGCCCGAGTGCACGTAAATGTGCACTAAATGAATTAATAATGGATTAACTCCACGGATGACGGAGAAGAGACTTCCAAAATTACCAAATGGCAGGACTGCACACTTTCAGAAATCTCTTTGAAGCCTCCCAATACTCCCTGCCTGTGGACGACAGTCTACACGTGCCACTGTTCACAAAGGTACATTCTTTTCAGTTTACGTTTCAGAAATTAGGTTAAGGGTTAGAATCAACAGACATCAGGCATCGGCATCGTCTTCTATCTGCTGCAACAGTCCTAAGTCCTCAAGTTAGGGAAAGGACACGTGCCTTCTAGCTCATCTTTAACGCATAACTGAGTATTTCTCCGAGTCTTGCCCGAGAAGCCCACTTCTTCCCAAAGCATGTACTTCAAAAACAGCCTATACCACCTGAAGAACTGTGCTCTATTAGAAGTAACATGTCTCCCCCTGGCAGTCTTCTAAAAGGCAGCCCCAGGAGGGGGCAGCTATGTGCAAGTTAGTGGAGGGCAGGGGGTTAAACAGTCTCCTAACTCTTCATCCATTTTGTGATCACACCTGGGGGGCGGGAGGGGCGAACACCTTCCCAACAACAGAAAGTTCCTGAAAAAGAAATACTAATAATGGTTACACCTCGCAGCGCATTTTCATATAAAGCCACCAACGTGCCCGTTTGAAGCCGCTGGCCCCTGAGCACTGAAGAGTCCCTGAAGGGAAACTAACTTCCATTATTACACCTAAAAGGAAACGGGCCCTTCTGCCTCCAGGCATCCCCTGCTCCACAGGCTTCAAGGATGACGTGAGGGAACATGCACTCCCCCTCTGGGGGGCTGCCCCGTGGGGACTAGGTGCTGTTGTGAAATCAAATGATAAGTGAGTGTGCAATGTGTCATGCAGTTTGTGCTGGATTTTAATTCCAAAAGACACAGTGCCTTCCACATCTCAATCCTTAATCTTATCATATCACAGAGTATTTTAGAACATGATATGACATTAACGGAACCATTTCAATACGCTACAGCATTATCAAAACGTTTGTCCTGTCTCGGGTCTGATGGCATCACTGGAAGGCAGAGTCCCCCCTGGAACAGCCCGTCTTCCCCAGAAGACACACCATGGCCCCCCGTGCACACGGCCCACAAGGCAGAGGGGTCACCACAAGGGCCGATCAGTGGCCGGGCTGGACACAGCACAGTCGGTGCTCTGGGTGAATGGGATGCGCTCAGTGCTCAGGCCACAGGGGCCCCGGGTGGTTGGGGAAGGAAACCAGCTCAAATACCACAATAACAGGATCCTAACACAGCATTTGGCCAAGTGCGCTCCCTGCAGTGCCCAGGGTTCTAGGTGCGCCGTTCAGGGGACCCAGAGACTGTCACGTCCACCGCTAAGAACTGCTGCCTAAGTGGCTTCTTCGGCCGCTGCTCCGGAGCACCTGGCTATGTGCAAAGTGCTTATCATCATCACAGAGGGCTCGGGGTCAGTGAGGCCAAGCCCGTGCCCCGGGAGTTACATTCACCTGAGGACGGACACTTGGATTAAAGCTGACAGTGCGGGGGGAGGGCAAGCGACGGCCTCAGCGGCTTTACAGAAAGAATGCTCCCAGACACAGGAAAGAACGATAGCAGCGTCCAGGGCGCAGCCGGGCAGCTGGCCGGGGGTGCAGGGGGCGCACACTATTCCCAGCCGCAGAAATGACGGGGACAAGGAGAGTATAAAAGGCACGCCGTGACGAGGGGCCCCGGAAAGAGTCCGCTGCAGCTGCCTGTGGCGGGAAGGGGAATCGATCCTCCCGTGTCCTTCAGACAAAACCACACTGAAGGGTCACAACGTTCCGGGTGGCGCGGTGCAGCTGCTGGGCGCAGACAGGGGCGGTGAGGGCCGTGCCGCCCGCAGCTGCCCTCAGCCTACAGCCGGAGGCGGACCCATCATGGACGGTGGTCCACGCACTGTGAGAGAAATAGCCGTCACGGAAACACAGGAGGAGAGAAAAGGCCTCCGAGGAAACGGGGCCGTTGGTGCTCTGCCTGGCCTCTAACAGCGCGAGGAGGCAAGGCCCCAGCCGTGTTCTCAGCACATTAAAAGGTGGCCCTGAGGGGCGCCTGGGTGGCTTAGTCGGTTAAGCGTCCGACTTTCGCTTAGGTCATGATCTCGCAGTTTGTGGGTTCGAGCCCCGCGTCAGGCTCTGTGCTGGCTGCCAGCTCAGAGCCTGGAGCCTGTTTCAGTCTGTGACTCCCTCTCTCTCTGGCCCTCCCCTGCTCACGCTGTCTCTCTCTCTCCTAGAAATAAATAAAACATTAAAAAAAAATTAAAAAAAATAAAATAAAAGGTGGCCCTGGGACAATGGAGAAAAGGGGCCACGAGGCAGGGACTGGACAGAGAGACCCGCCCGGGGGGGGCGGGTCTGCTGTGAGGGAGGGAAGGAGAGGGCCGGGCGCTGGGCAGAGCTGGTGGGGCCTCCCAGCTCCAGCCTGCACCCCGTAGGGGATGGGGCGCCGTTAGCTGAACAAGAGTAAAAGGAGTAACATGAAGGGGAAAAGAACCAAACGCTCCAAAGCCCTGAGTAGACACCGACAGCACGCTTACTGCGCGCAAAGTACATGGACACAGACTGACCCAACGGACTCAGAAAACAGGCGCTCTAGAGGCGGGGGGCGGGCGGGGCGGCCGGGGAGGGGGGCGGGCAGGGCGGAGGCCGGCTCCCCCCACCTCACTTCACTTCAGCCTCGTCCTGAGCTGCCACCAGCACTGCCCTTTCCCTCCCCATCCCCGAGCTGGCGGGTTCTCAGAAAGCTGCTGATATGAGATACGGCCGTTCCGACTGCACTGTACATAAAGTCTGGACAGACTCTTCAAGATTTACTTTTAAATCATAATCAGGAGCCCACGCTAACGAAGCAGGGGATAGGCCCCTGGCTCTCAGAGGAAAGGGTCGGTGCTCGCTCCTCTGCACCCAGCAAGGGACTTTAACGACCCAAACTGCACGGCGGGCACACGGATGTGACCCGCGCAGCAGCGGCAGCCTGCGGTGACCAAACCGCCTGCCGTTCCTTAACCGCCACGTCCTTCGACAGCACCACACTGCTGCACCTCTGGTGACCGGCTCTGCGTCTGTGACAGAGACCAAAACGGTAACAGGCCAGGAAGTTAAAAGATCACCGGAATTCCCAAGGACACTAAGTGACAGACGGGGGCATAAATGTAAACTGCACACGGCTCTGAGCGGCCTCTGAGCGGAGCGTACAGCCTCTGAGAAGCAGCAGCCTCCACAACCCGGAGATGGGCCACATGAGGACCATGACAGACGCCACGGCCGTGGCCACCTGCACCGCTGACACCAGGGAAGGAGAAACTTCAACAACCAGTTCCTTAACTAAGCCCGGAATGTGCGACACTGAAGCACGGAACATACGTGAGTTCGTGGGTCAAGACGGTTCAGGGCGTAAATACGCTGGCTGCCGGCAGGAGCCCCAAGCAGCGAGGGCAGGGGTGCTGGACGGCCAGCACGGACAGGCCGCCCGGCACGCGGGGCCGCCGCACACTTGGGCGGGGGGTGCTTACCGTCGGGTAGCTCATCGGTAGCTCGTGTGCCACACAGAACTGCTCCATTGTAGGGTGGGAGCTGCACAGGGAATTGGAAAACAGATTTTAATTCAACAAAATGTTAAAACCCCACACATGCTTTTTCATTAAAGCAACACTTCATTAAAACTCTTTATCGACTTCTCAGGACATCTGTTTACCAAAATCACAGATGCTGACAGTGAAGTTACAGCACCCTCACGCCACAGGAGACCTTTTGCATACTGTCACTGAGACCCCAAAGTGAGGCAACACAATAAACATGGACTCCAACGGACACGTAAAGCAACGACAATAAAACGCTATGTAGGTGGAGCGCCTGGGTGGCTAAGTCGGTTAAGCGTCCGACTTCGGCTCAGGTCATGGTCTCACGGTTCATGGGTTCGAGCCCCACGTAGGGCTCTGTGCTGACAGCTCAGAGCCTGGAGCTGCTTCTGATTCCGTGTCTCCCTCTCTCTCTGACCCTTCCCTGCTCATGCTCTCTCTCTCTCTCTCTCTCTCTCTCTCTCAAAAATAAAATAAAATATCATAAATAAAATAAAATAAAATATTAAAAATAAATAAATAAAATAAAATAAAACGTTATGTAGGAGAAACACTCCGCTTCACAGGACCGGGGCCCCTGACATAGAAGGCTCATGCTGCCCCCGGCATTTCAGGTCTACACGGCTGGCGGAGGCGGGCCCAGGCCCACGGGCCAAGTGCAGGGAGCCCACAGAGAAGGCTGAGAACCACGGCTCCTTTGCAACACAGTGCCTTGAAGAACCGAATCGATGGCTGGAAATCACATTCCATGTTAAGAGAGAAGGCAAAACACCAAGTGTCTGACCTCTTTGTAAAGAGCAGGGAGATAGTGTTATGAATGCCCCAGACTTGTCCTCTCCCTAGCTGCCCCACAGGATTTAAGAACTGGGAGTGTTTCGGGGGCGCCTGGGGGGGTTCGGTCAGTTGGGAATCTGACTTCAGCTCAGGTCATGATCTCACGGTTTGTGGGTTCGAGCCCCACGTCGGGCTCTGTGCTGACAGCTCAGAGCCTGGAGCCTGCTTCGGATTGTGTCTCCTTCTCTCTCTGACCATCCCCTGCTCGCACTGTCTCTCTATCTCAGAAGTGAATAAACATTAAAAAATTTAAAAAAACTTAAAAAAAAAAAGAACTGGGAGTGTTTCGAACAGACACATTTGGGATGAGAATGGCTGGGACAGCAAGGCCAAGGCCAGGGCACCTGAAGAAATGAACAGGACAAAGCAGCGACACCCCAGAACAGCACTTGTCAAATGTGTCCCCGCAGCGCTCGGGCTTCCTGGACAGGCCCGGGGACTGTCGTGTCCATCACTGTCTGAGAACTGCTGCAGCAGTGGCTTCCTCAGCTGATTTCTCCAACTAACTCTTCGCAGGGCGATTCAGTAATCAGGGAGACAAACACTCATCACTCCCAGCAGCCAAGTTCACCTACCCCCCGCCCCCAAACCTAAGGAAAACAAAGGACAGTTCAAAAGGAACTGAACACTTTCCAGGACCTGAGAGCTACGCGTGTCTCCACCACGTACTCCCACGAGGGGGCGCATGGTCCCCATCCAGCAGACGCCCCAGAAGAACCTGTTACGGTGCTGGCGCCTGCTGCACAAACAGCAAAGCCTCGCGGGGGGCGCCACGCTCACCTCCGGCACCGACGCAGGAGCACAACAGGAGCATCTGATTGTCCATCGGGGTGCCGTTCCTCTGCAGCCACAAGAGCAATTTATCAGCTCCCAGATGAGAGCGCCTTCTCTATCAGTGACCGCAGGGCGTCCCCTGGTGACGGAAATCTATACAACTGTGAGGCACTGCAAGTGCGTGGTTTTTAATCCCGCTGTGCTTACACAAAATGTGGTCAGGGGGAGAGGTGGGTCCAGACCCTCCACCCTGGTGCACCCAGGGCAGCACCGACAACCTGTTGGTATTTAAAACACCTACTCTGAGTTACTCATCTGGTAAGAGTGCAAGTGTGGGAATTAGTGATGTAGGGATGAGTTCTGGCACAAAAGAGGCACAAAAGTGTGTGTGTGTGTCTTTTACTCTGTGAGTCTATGGCACCTTCAATTCAACAAACCTCCACCATTCATAAGCTGCCCCTTAGCCTGTGGTAAATGTGGATTTATATAGACAGCAGAATGAAACTAAGAATTAATCAAATTTCCCTCTTTAACTATTTAGAAGAATATAAAATTTTGAAATCAAAGCAAAACCATAAAATCTCACACATGAATGCAAAGTGAGCAATGCAAAAAACTGAAATCCAATGACTTACATACAAAGTCAAAGCAACTTAGTCTGAAAATAGTGCAACCATCTTGTGAAGTCAATATTTGGGCCCTTCAATTAAGAAGATAATGTTTAAAAAACTTTTTTTTACTGTTTATTTATTTTTGAGACAGACAGTGAGTGGGGCAGGGGCAGAGAGAGGGAGACAAAGAATCCAAAGCAGCTCCAGGCTCTGGGCTGTCAGCACAGAGCCTGATGTGGGGCTCAAACTCACAGACAGTGAGATCATGACTGGAGTTGAAGTCAGACGCCCAACCGACTGAGGTACCCAGGCACCCCAAGAAGGTAATGCTTTAAACAAATACTGTATGATATCCCTTACCTTTGGAATCTAAAATTTTTTTAAAAAAATTTTTTTAACTCAAATAAAAAAAACAAAGAATGGAATGGTAGGTAGATCCCAAAGGCTGTGGGTTGGGGGAGTGGGGGAGCCACTGTTTACGGGTGTGTACTTGCAAGCAGTAGGCAAGTCCTGGATATGGAACACAAATGCAGGGATTACAGGCAGCAAGCCCTATTAGAGACTTCCAGCCTGTGAAGACACCAGATTTTAACTGTTCCCACCAACTGAAAGAAATGACAATTATGTGACACAATGTAGCTAACGCTACAATAGCAATATTGCAATATAAATGTATCAAATCAATAGGCACATGCATTACATGATTTTATGTGTCAATTATATTTCATAAAATAAAATGTTTTAAAATCCTTTTGGCACTGCTACGACTTGCTCTGCTGTCTAAAAGACCCTCATGAACCTCAAATCTCTCCTTTGAAGTCCCACGAAGACACCAAACCTCTGAGAGTAAGTCTTAACTCTCCACAGCCCCCCCACCCCCACACACCCTCACGTGTGTGCAGCCTGGACCCTGATACTCTGGGCTTGCTTATCCTGTAACTACATTAAAGCACGTGTGTGTGCGGCCTCCAATACTGAAATTCTGGAAGTCCCAAGAACAATGAGCATTCGCTCCTTACTTCTGAACACTAATGACATGATTACGACTGGGGTTCAAAACATGCTTGTTCAATAAACTGGCTGCATTTCTTCCAGTTGGAGAAATTCTTTTTGATAAATCACGCTGGCTCAGAAACGAGAGCACAGCTTTAAACTCCTACTAACACTTGAGATCGCACACAGAGAGCAGCCGACCCCGGCCCAGCCGAGGTGAGCTTTCACGGGGTAACAGAAAACCCACCTCGGCCCAGAGACGGTGCGTTAGCAGAAAAGCAGGATGTTTTACAGTTTCACACTCTGTTTCTCAAACTTTGTTTTTTTCAGTTCTTGGCCCCCAAGGAGAGAGAAGAATGCTTTCTCTAATTCCTAACAGCCGAAGAGGCTACGATGAACAGGGCTGGCACCAGCTCACACAACAGCCGTGCGGTGGGCACAGGGTGGGCAGGGGCCGCGGCCGTTTTCACCAGGAGGCAAAAGGCCCAAGTGACGCAGCCACCCCGCCCTGCCGCCCCCACCGGCCCCCGCCCACCACCCCCACCTGCACCCGCCCGCATGCCCACACACCCCCCCCCGACGCCCAGCCATTAAACAGTGGGTGCCCTGCGCGACTGTATCATTAGTATGCTCTGCGCTGTAATAATTATAATACCGAGAAAGAGAGCTTGGCCCAATCACAGTAATTAGCCTGTATGTCCCTTTTGTGGGTCACTGGACCGTATGTGATTTTGACAGGCAACATCTGTCACACCTGCCCCCAAACTCTGTGCGTTCTCAAATGCAAAAACACAGAAGACCCAGGAATGAGCCAGACTTCCTGATTTCGGGCTACAACCTCATTCTGTTAAGACACAGCCATTATTTCTACAGTAAAAAGTCAGGGGCGCCTGGGTGGCTTAGTCGGTTAAGCGTCCGACTTTCGCTTAGGTCATGATCTCGCGGTTTATGGGTTCGAGCCCCGTGTCGGGCTCTGTGCTGACTGCCAGCTCGGAGCCTGGAGCCTGCTTCAGAGTCTGTGACTGCCTCTCTCTCTGACCCTCCCCTGCTCACGCTGTCTCTCTCTCTCTCCCCTAGAAATAAATAAAAAAACATTTAAAAAAAAAAAAAAAGCCTGACATGACTTTTCCATCAACGCCCTTTTCCGCGGAGGTCTCCGGGTGCACACTCACGGTGTCCCGACACTCCCGAGCGGTGAACAAACGCACCCCATGTTCACATGAGGAAGAAGCACAGAGGTGACGAAGGAGCCCAGCTCTAGACTTCGAGATATGGTGCGTCCTCCACTTGCACATCACAGGAAAAGCCACATCTCTATTCTGACACTTAGCTGCAAACGGGCTCTCACAAACCCACACAAAGGCACACACTTGAGAAAAGCTTTTGTAAAATACACAAGTGGGGCTTTATCATTTCTTAAAACCTTAATCTCAAACAGCTCAGGCCATCCGTCCCCGGCAGGCGCCTCTGTACTCCACTGTGACTGCGAGAGGAACGCTCCAACACTCGGACCGTTAGTACACAGAGTAGACCTCAGTTACCACCAACACTTGGGGAACACGGGGTCCCATCATGTTTTTCCTAATCGTTACTTCCTCTGTCAGGAAACACTGAACTCCAAGGCTTATTCTACAAAATCTAAACTGCACAGATGCATTTTATCACCTAGGAAATACCATAGAGAACTTAGCGTTCACGGTTTCCTGGCTCGTATCCTTAGATCCCTAAAACTCCTAACTGGTGCCATCGACAAACACAACAGGGACGGGGACGGCACTGAAGTGCGTTTATGCATCTCAGCTGTAACCTGACCCTGACCACGCTTTGTTTCTTCCTTCTTCCTGAAGTGAAAGAGGAGAAACCAATAAATCGCTCTCTGGTCTGTGCAGCTGAAGTACGGCTTTCAACACGCTGTCATTTAATCCTTCCTCCCCAGCTCCAAAGAGGGTTTAGAGTTCAAGAAGTCAAGGTGAACCGGGAAGGACTGGCCAAGGTCACACGCCAAGGCCACATGCAACGCTGGCCGTGGGGCTCCAATCCTAAGGAGTCAGCATCTCCTGCTCCACTTTGCCAAATAAAAAGAACTCCACACAGAACACCCTCTATGCGCGTACGTTTATCAAGAGGTCTGAGTGCCTGCTTGGTTCTCATCAATGTTACCTAAGGTTTTACTTGATTCGCACCCACTCCACCCAACTTTATCGTTTTCAACACAATTTCAAGTTTTCATGTTGAAAATACGAACGTGAAAAAATATTCCAGGTAAGTTTTATTAAACTATAAGAGAAATCATTAATCACATAAAGAATGGACATAAAAGACATGAATGGACATAAAAGACCTGAATTGTGTTTAGAAAACTATCATAAAACTGTTAATTCTCCTACAAATTAACCCATAATTAACACAATGCTAACTGAAATCTCAATGCGATTTTTCAGGGAACTTGGTATGCTGATCATAAATTCTTAAGGAACAGTTAAGGATGAAGGAGAACTTGGGGCGCCTGGGGGGCTCAGTTGGTTAAGCTTCCGACTTCGGCTCAGGTCACGATCTGACGGTTCGTGGGTTCAAGCCCCGCGTCGGGCTCTGTGCTGACAGCTCAGAGCCTGGAGCTGCTTCAGATTCTATGTCTCCCTCTCTCTCTGCCTCCCCCCTGCTCACACTGTCTCTCTCAGAAATAAATAAAATATTAAAAAAAAAAAAAAAAAAGGATGAAGGAGAACCAAACCACACGTGAGGAAGTACAAGAGGGTGCGCGCCCTCCCCAAGGACGGATGACAGAGCTGCAGCAGTGGAAACCAGTGGGACTGTTCCCAGGACAGAGCAAGAGGGGCCAGGGCAAAGGGGCACCACTTGGAACGGCCCAGTGCAGGGACAGCCCCTACAGTCTAGGGGCCGAGGCAGCACCCCGGCTCACGTACAGTGAACACAAAAACCTTAAAACTTTCAGAAGAAAACCAGTGTCTTTGCCACGTCAGCACAGGGAAGAATTTCCTAAAGACATTTACAAACCATAAGGAAAAAAAATATGTTTGACATGAAAGTTACAAATGTACTACCCTTACCCAGCAAAATAAATAAATAAATGTGCGTCATACATGAAGTTCAAAAGCCCTCGTGCCAGGGGCGCCTGGGTGGCTCAGTTGGTTGAGCGTCTGACTTCAGCTCAGCTCATGATCTCACGATTCATGCGTTCAAGCCCCGCATCAGCTCTGTGCTGACAGCTCGGAGCCTGGAGCTGCTTCCGATTCTGTGTCTCCCTCTCTCTCTGCCCATCCCCACTCGCACTCTCTCAAAATAAAATAAAGACACAAGAAGAAGTTTTTAAAGCCCTTGTGCTAGGAAAAGATACTTGTAATATGCAGATGCAAAGTTTATGCGCCCTGTAAGCGGTAAGAAAAAGACAGGCCACTTAAGCAACGTGGACAAGGGAGACGTAACTCACGGAAGTGGGACCGTATCACCAACGGCCACACGACCATAATGAAGCGGTTCTCAACTGTGCAATCTGGGAATATTGTAAACAGTGAGAACCCACCACAACCAACCCAACAGATGAACAAAAACTCTGAGTCCCCTACAGTGAGCGGGAGGAGCTTTTCCTCACACGGGACGCTGACCGGGCCCGGGCACGGCCAGGGGGGCCGGGGGCCGCGTGCCCCACACACTAGTCCCCGCAGCCCGGGCCGCCCCCGTCCTGGGAGCAGACCCTGGGGAATCCCACAGAGCACAGGAGACACAGCAAACACGCTTACTGCAGTATGTGTGTCACAGGCGAGAACCAAAGGTGTACACGGTGCTGGGCGGGACACAGGTAACGGCTGTGGTGTGTGTGCACCGACGGTACTCAGAAATTAGAATCAAAGCACAAAACAAAACCAAAACACACAAGCCTAGATAAGCGTGAAGGATGTTACCTTGAAATAAACTACAAAACGATGAGGCTAGAGCTGACCCTTGAACGACACGGCTCTGAATTGTCAGGCCCGCTTCGGGCAAGGGGTTTTCCACAAGCACAGAACAGTTCCATAAACATGTTTTCTCTTATCATTTCACCTCCTCTCTAGCTTCTTTACTCTAAGAATACAGCATATAATACGTATACAACACAGAACCCGGTCATCCGCTGCTACTGTTATTACCAGCAAGGCTTCTGACCCACAGCAGCTCCGGTCGTCAGCGGCGGGGAATCAGAAGTCCCTGAGGGTCCCCGAGGCCACTGGGGTCGGCACTCCCCACCCCTGAGTCATTCAAGGGTCAAGGGAACAACTGTACTCACCGCCTAAACCTATACTGGGCTACAACCCGCAGACACGCACACACGCAGGGAAGGTGAAAACCACCCACTTCTGCGGAGGGCAGGCAGCAGGGGGGCGGGTGCGAGGGGGGCTGTGACGGTACCTGTGACCTCTTGCTATTTATAAATACAGCAAAATGTTACTATTACTCAAATCTGGTTGGTGGGTTTGGGCATTTCTCGTATTAGTCTCTGCGCTTTTCCGTACATTGGATTTCTTTATCAAAAAGCATAAATTAAAAAATTGAAGCTAAAACGTAACCATTAACTCTATCTATACATATACCCAAATAAAACGATGTCTTCTCTTACCTCAACTGAAGAGCGAGGAGTCACAAAGAACTGATTGAATTCATCAGGGCTAAAGTCTCCAAAAATATACTGGAAAGAAAAAAAAGTCACCAATCACATAAAATATACAATTTATATTTTCAGGAAAAATCAACAGATTATACCAATCCTATGAAATATGTAGGTCAGAATACCCAAGACCCTCTTCTCAACTAAACAAATCAAGGGTCCGCAAAGAAAAATTTCTAGATGTATTTTCCAACTACAAACACGAAAATACTACTTAGCAGTTTCCACAAAGTGTCAAGGAGCCCTGTGGAAGGGACAAAGCCTGAGTGGAAACAGGCCCACCGTGTGACACTTGTCCGGTAGGACAACTTCTGGGCTCACAAGCCCTGCAGCGTGTCCTGCTCGCTGTGTGTTCACGTCACACCTCCACTCCAGCCCTCTCTGCCGCACATACTAATGAAAAGCAGAAAACGTGGTTCAAATGGGAAGACAGGGAGATCCAAACAAAGAAAAATGCTAATGATCCTGATGAATGGCATTTAAGATACACATTAAGTGATTTTTTTTATCCTGAAATTTCAGTTATAAATATGATGCACAGATAAACATATTTTTTTAAGTTTATTCATTTATTATTTCTGAGAGAGAGAGAGACAGACAGAGTGCGCACAAGTGGGGGAGGGGCAGAGAGAGGGAGACACAGAATCTTTCGCAGCTCCAGGCTCTGAGCTGTCAGCACAGAGTCCTATGCGAAGCTCAAACTCCTTACAAACTGTGAGATCGTGACCTGAGCCAAAGTTGGATGCTTAACCTACTGAGCTACCCAGGTGCCCCAAAATATTTTTTTAATTTTTTAAATTATTATTACTGTTGTTGTAAGTTTATTCATTTATCCTGAGAGACAGAGACAGTGAGAATTGGGGGAGGGGCAGAGACAGAGGGGGAGAGAATCCCAAGCAGACTCTATGCTACCAGCGCAGAGCCCGACGGGGCCCAAACTCACAAAGCCATGAAATCGTGACCTGTGCCGAAAGCAAGAGTAAGACGCTGAAGTGACTGAGCCACCCAGGCACCCCCGGATAAATATATTATTGGGCAGACACAATCTATCTCTGAACTCTTGCTTCACAGAATTCTGAATGTGACTTTCTGAAAAAACAGCTGGTTCACATGCACGGAAGCAAGTTTGCCAAGTACCCAGCAGTTCATGTTCTCCCTGAAGCTTCTAAAAATAAGTCATTAACAAGAGTCAGTATGACCAGATTTCTACACCAGAGAACACATACAGAATTACTCTTTCATACAATCCACAATTGTATAGAGCCTCCTAACTGCCCTGCATGATGATCGGTGCTGGGGATAAAAATGGTAGGCAGAGGGGCGCCCAGGTGTCTCAGTCAATTGGGCGTCTGACTCTTGACTTCAGCTTGGATCATGATCCCAGGGTCGTGGGATCGAGCCCTACCTCAGGCTCTGCACTGAGTATGGAGCCTGCCTGAGACTGACTTTCTCTCTCTCTCTCTCTCTCTCTCTCTCCCCCCTCTCTTCCCCTCCCCCCACTTGTAGTCTCTCACTCTCTAAAATAAAGAAAGAAAAAAAAGAAAATGGTAAGCAGAGTTACGGGCTCCACTGTTCTAGTGGAGCTGAGTAACCTGCAGGGAAATTTAAAAGCATGTGATTCAAAAGTAACCAGTAACTACATATTATACATGTGCATAATGCCCAGTATTACTGTAAAAGTAAATAAATGACAACTCTCACAGCCTGTTACTGTAAGAATGCACCAATATTTTTCAGTAAATATTTCTGGAGGGCTATCTGGCAATAGCTACCAAAACTGTAAATATATATGAAAAACAAGAACAGCTTCACACAATATTTACATATAATTGCAAAAATCCACAAGGAAACTGTGCATTGATGGTAATGGTGAAAATAAGCAGTCTCGAAACAATTCTGAAATAATCATCAGAGATACTTTCATTCTGCACTTACACCTTCTACTCATTTCCAACACTGGGGGAAAGCCTGTATTAATTTCAGTCTGGTGTAACACCAAGCAATGGGAGGGAAAGGTATCCTTCAGTGAAAAGGAAGCAGAAGAAAGGGTGGGGAGGGGGACTGGTGTAACAAAACGACAATGCCGACTAACCCTTTGTAGCCCCACTGCAGACAGAGATCATTAAGTCTAGATATAAATAAACCTCAACTTTGCTCAGGAGGACATGAGAAGACAAGCCAAAATGACAAAATATTCCTGCTTGCTGACGAGCATGTGGAATGACTTTCTACACAGCCCACACAACAGCAGAACGGTGCAGCCACGTTGGCAAAGAGCTGGGCAGTTTCTTACAAAGCTACTTACCTTACGACCCAGCAACCCCACGCTAACTCACTCACCCAAGAGAAATGGAAACCTATGTCCATGAAAAAAACTGTATGCTGATGTTTACAGCAGCCCTATTCAAACCTGGAAGCAACCCAAATGTCCACCAAGAGGCAAATGTGGTACATCTATAAAATGAACTACTACTCAATGGCTCTCAAAAGCATCCTGCTAAGTGAAAGAAGTCTGACTTAAAAAGCTACGTGTGGAATGATTACACTTATGTAACGTTCTAGGGCAGAGCTGTAAGGAGAGAAAACAGATCGGTGGTTGTGTCAAGGGCCGGGGAAGGACTGATTACACAGAGGCACCAGGGGACTTTGGGGGTGATGGAATATCCACAGCGGAGGCCTGTTGGAGAAACAGTAACCCTCCTAATTGCCAAGGAAACACACAACCCACTAATGACTTCAGGGGTGCCTGGGTGGCTCAGCCGGTTGAGCATCTGACTTCAGCTCAGGTCATGATCTTGCAATTCACGAGTTCGAACCTCGAACTGGGCTCTGTGCTGACCGCCTGAAGGCTGGAGCGTGCTTCAGATTGTGTCCCCCTCTCTCTGCCCCTCCCCAGCTTGTGCGCCCTCTCTCTCGCTCTCCCAAAAATAAATTTAAAAATTAAAAAAAAAAAAAAAAAGCCACTAATGACCTCAGTCCCCATGCAAGGAATGGACAAGATTCACAGGACACAGGAGAACAAAACTGAAGAGAACTGCTTTTAAAAAGGAGTCAGCACAGGGGTGCCTGGGTGGCTCAGTCATGATCTCACAGTTCAAGGGGGATCAAGCAGGAATCAAGCCTCGCATCAGGCTCTGCCCTAACAGCGCAGAGCTTGCTTGGGATCCGCTCTCTCGGCCCCCCTGCCCTTCCTGCGCACTCTCCCAATAAAAAAATAAACTTTAAAAAAAAACAAAAAAAACCTTTAACTCACACTTTCTAATAAGCACCCATTCTTATTTTGGTTCAAATACAATCTAAAGTGTTAAAGAGAGAGAGAGATGGGCAGTGCAGTAAGAGAATAGAATCTCCAATACTGTGTCAATTACGGGGAGGGGGGAGTGTGTGACCCCGGTGTGATCTGTAGGAACCACACCCCACAGCTGGCGGCTAGAAAAAGCCTCGCTGTCAACCTAGACAACGCTCAGAGAGATGCCCAGGGAAAATTTTTCTCTTCTATCATTTTCAGCGTTACCATTTTTACTGTTTTATTTTTAAAGTATTATTTGAAAAGCTCTCCTATAGCTTTTATTTCTAAGAGAGAGACAGCATGAGCAGGGGAGGGTGAGAGAGAGAGAGAGTTACAGAATCTGGAACAGGCTCCAGGCTCCGAGCTGTCAGCACAGAGCCCAACGCGGGGCTGGAACCCACGAACCATGAGATCATGACCTGAGCTGAAGTCGGATGCTTAACCAACTGAGCCACCCAGGTGCCCCTTAAGTATGTTTTTATTACACTTTATGCCAATAGTGTCTCCGAGGATGTGTGCCTTCAATCCGCTCACAAGGCTAAGGGGGAAATGAGTGAGAGCTAGATGGACAGGCAGGGAGAAATCTCCAGGACGCGTTAAATGAAGAAAATGCTCTTTGGGTGCCACAGAGAAGAGCTGGAGGCAATGCAGTGGCACCAGACTCCTAGCATGTCTCTTGTCAGAATTCTTAGTTCTGAGCCTTAGAAATACCTTATTTATTCGAAAAATTACTTGTAAAAAGTCAATGTAAAAGACCAAAATCACTGCACAACTATTCAAAGACACCCATTTTGCAGAGAAGTTAGAAGCTTGCACCTAAATTTGCACCTGTGCTCGTTTCAAGATCTCAGAGACAACAGATTAGGACATGATGAAAACAATTAATCCAAAACAGCCATCCTAAGAACTTCTGTCAACTACGCAACACTGAGCACTCACGCGACAGCTAGCTGCACAGCCGTGACCTCCCACGTGACATCCTCACACCCGCTCCCCTCTCGCCCCAAGCAGCCCACACGGATCTTCGATCTTTCAAGCACATGAGTTTCCCCAAGTGAGCAGTTACACCCCAGTCCTACAAAACACTGTCGCTTCAGTTCTGCGGCTGGATGACGGAGGCGACTGCTAAGAGCCTGGTGCCAGACAGCGAGCGCCTCTGCACGGTGCTCCCGGCCCCGAGGAGTCTGGTTAGGATGCCTGCTTCCTACAGAACACGTGTCCCCGTATGTTCACGGCAGATAAACCGCAGGCACCTTTCTCCAAGGTGTGTGCACACACAGCTCTTACATTTAACCAGAGACCCAATACCATGAAGTAACGGCAGATGCAGGAAGGCCTGACAGTGGGGAGCTCGTTCTCCCAGGGCAGCAGAGGCCTAGGCCCTGAGGTGTCGCAAGGGCACTTCCCACCTTCACAGTGCATGCAAGAGACAGGGCAGCTCCTTCTTTCCAGGCAGAAGAACTAAAGCGTCTCTGAGAACCACGCAGAAGATCGTGTGGAATGCTCTAAGAACACACCCCACACAGACGCTGAGGCTATGACACCATTTCAGTGTTTAACAAAATCACCTGCATCATGAAACTGACTACAGGAAGTATTACCACAAACAGGCATTTTATTATCCACGCTCTTCCAAAAAAGCGAAGAGTGTTGCTTATAAAATAAAATTTAGCTTAAATAAATTTATTAAGAGCAAAAAAGGCAATTGTTTAATATCCTGATAAAAACACTA